CGAGGCGAAGACTACACAGATCACGGTGTCCGTGTAAGGGTTAAGTGGGCGAGATTATTCTTAAGACTAATGGAACCCTAGTACATGAAGTCAAAAATCGAGAAACAAATGACATACGTACTTAGGTAATCATAAATTTGAAATGAGTTGCCTACGTATTTAAAATTTTACGCTATGTAACCTCATTATCTTGAAATATGTAAAATATTTTTTATCACATTATTATGTCAATGACATTGTGGGTGCGGTGCGATGACCTTTTGTATGTGGAAAACCTTGATTCATTGGTTAATACTGATTTAGTAAATATTTGCGTCACACGATGCATTTGATAAGATGTGTATAGAGTCCGCTATAAGCCACTAGTTTCTGATTGATAACACGTAATTTTCATACAGAAAATCGAATTTCCTAGGTATTTTCCATGTTATTTCAAGAAATTCCAAATTTATTCAAACCTTCTTACAGTTAGTTACGCAAAACCTCTGTCTACAAACTTTGTCTTAGGACAGACTTTGTTGAATGAAATTCTCATTCTGAATTTAAATTATCATTAGGCAGTATAACTATCTCGTAAGAAGTTTAGGTTCAAAACGAGTTAGCGCAAACTTTGAGCCCAACAAGAGTTACTAACATTTACATATTCCTCTCAAAGAAAACACATTATCATCTTCAGCCTATCACGCATAGTCCACTGCTCAGCAAGGAGACGATAAGGCATCACCTCGCTTGCTCAAGACGGACTGGCAATTTCGAATTATTAAAAATTCTATTCCCAGAAGATGTACCTATGTCAGTGTTCCCGATATGTCAATTAGTCTAAATTCACTTATTTGTAAGTGAGAAGCGGGTGCTTTAACATCTGGGCCACCAGGGCCTTTAACTTAAACATTATTCTATTTAGAATTGCCATTTTTAAATTTTTCCCAGCATTTTATCGTCCAACAAGCCTTGACTGGTAAGGCCGCCTCAGTAACTGGGCCTAGAGCGAATTTGCTTTACGTTAAGGCGATTGACGTGTTCTCTAATTGTGTCAGTGTTTGACACTACCCTTGCATCGTCACATAGGCATAGGCGGGCGTCGGCGCTCGCCTCTTGTGGTAGTGTGCTGTGGACGTCCCGAAGTCCCTCGACGCTGAAACTTCTTCTTCTACCAGAACGGAGGAGCCACAAGAACAAGGGTTCTCTAGCTGCGCTCTGAACCTGCAGCGTGCTTTGATCAGAGAGCTAAAATAAACTCTATGCCGAAGGTTGATGGATGATTGTACTTGTCTGTAGTTGTAGTCATCATCAATGAAAAAAAATGAATTTAAAACATGTCGGAAGAAAACTACAAACACTTGCCGCACAAAAGTAACAAACATTTAACACAATTCCAGTAAGTTATGTCAAAACCGTTTGTAGCCGGTTAATTAGTTTTGTAATTAAGATTCTGTTACCGGCAGCCTGTTTTCGAAAATTAAATAAGAGAAACGAAGAATATTTAGTACTTGGGTAGAGAAGCATACATTGTATGTATACCTACTTTTTTATGGAATAGGCAGCATACGAGTAGATGGATCACCTGATGGTAAATGATGGACCATGACCATCATGGACACCTGCAACACCAAAACAGTAACAGGCACGTTGCCGGCCTTTTAAAAAGGAGTACGCGCGTTTTTGGAAGGTTTGGGGTTGCTATCAAATCGCTGTAAGAATCATTCTAGGTGTTTTTGACGTCTCAAAATAAACTGAAGGGTTCAAAAACTTGTAGAAGGGGTTGAGTTGAGGGGGTTGAATAAGGTAACGCGGACTTAGCCAGACGCAGGAGAACTCCCTCTCTCCCCACGCAGGGCGCAGAAGGAATTTAATGCCTATCCTCCCACAAAAAAACCTTCTCTCTAGCTAATAAAAAGTAATGACAATTGAAAATCAAAATAAGAATTTAATTGAACTCTAACTAATCTAAGATAAAGTTCGAGCTTAGCTTCAGCTCAAACAACCTACAAAAAAAGACTATTAAAATAATAAGTTTAGGTAAGCAGGCACTTATTTGTGTTAGATAACCTTGCATTTTAAATCTAAGTACTTATAAAATAAAATGTATATCAATGATCTTTTTGTTCTCCTAAATTTATGCAGGATTCAAATACTGGTTTTTACCAGTTCTCAGGTAGCTATCTACCTATCTACGTACGTAAGTTAGCGACAAAATATAATATTCCCTAGTTTTGCATGTATATCTGTTAAATAATAAGATCAGTTTATATTAATAAATTAATAGTAAATAGAGACTAAATAACATGAATATATAACCTACACTTTACGCAACGTGGTTTTTGTGGTTTTTACCTATCTAGGTAGGTATCTAAGATTCATTATCTGTACTTCCTTCCTATGTACCAACTTGGACACGCCGTTATCTAGCCACATAGGAGCCTACTCGGTACACGCTTTGATAAGTACTAGGGTACCTACGACCGATATAGGTAGGCCTAAGTAACTAACCTAACCTAACTAAATCAAAAATGTTGTCTTAATAGGTACGCAAGTAGGTACTAAGTTTAGTTGCCTATCTTATTTCCTTTACATTTGCATAGAGATCGTTTTTCAATGGGGTAAACTCATCAAATGACTTCTCTGTGTGTGGGGCGAGACTGCGTGAGGGAATGAGACTCTTATCGACTAAAAACCCCGTTCCCTGGCCCGCTCCAGGCCAGGGCCGCGGCACCTAGGTATGTTATTGCCGTGCTGCAATCTCGGCTAGACCTAAATAGTGGCGTAGTATGTTAATGAACTAGATAGGCAACGGAATTACGTAAAATGGTATCAAAACAATCACTTGATCGAATCGAAAAATGCGTGTTATAATGATAAGGCGTCAAGGTAGGTAGGTACCTTGTGTGCTAATATTTAATCGAAAAACATAGGTACGGATATAAACAGCAGTTGCCTGCGCATAAGAAAACACATATGCTTTTACTTTTGTGAATTCAAGTACCTAAGTAGATGAAAATAATAATATGCCAGATGATATACACGTATTAAAGATACTTAGGTACTTAGTACTTCGGTAGGACCCTAATGAAAGAAAACAAAGATATTTTAATCTTAGTAGGTAGTTACCTACTGTTTACCAAAGAGGATTCTTAATTTAAAAAGTTAAATAGGTAGGTAGGTAAGTTATGCCACTTCTTACCCTCCACAGATTAAAATAGTAATAATCGCTTGTCATACCTACAATTTCTTATCTTCATACCTAATTAAATTCTTATTTACCGCGTGTAAAATTCTTATTAGCCTACATTTCATTCAATGGCAGTGGCACCTCTAATATTCAACAGGTTAACTTGTAGAATTGCTACAAGCATTGATCATAATGAACACAAACTTTTTTGTAACTTTTTAATTTTATTATACAAAACGTAGATAAATGAAACTACAATCTTTTTTACTTCCTAGTTAGGTAACAACTACGCATTAATAATTTATATTATTCAAACATCAACAACCTTAGATAAAAAGTAAACATTACACAATTTATGACAATCATGTCGATATTAAGCAATATCATCAATATGTGACAAAAATAGTATAACTACACACTTCAATACTTACCACAAAGACGGGTTCAAAGCAACAAGTTCACGGTCAAAACACAAAAACTGCAAACTGAACACAACACCAAGGAATGGACAACTTTGTAAACACTTGTTCGCACACGCGGAACGACAAAAACAATAGCGTTTTATCCAAACGCTTAACACGTTTACAATTAATTAATATTCTTAGTTCAAATCCAATAAGAAACTTTTTCGAAAACTACCAAGTGAAAGTTTTCGCGATAACCACGAAGAGGTTATGTTATTGTTGTGATGTAATAGAAACGTCGACACACTACGAACTCCGCGCTATTACTGCTGAACGGACTGAAGTGAAGTGAATTGCGAACGCAAAACAGTTAGCGAGAGGACGGAACAACAAATTTGGACGCGCTCCATTCATTCTCATTTCAGTTATATTATATGTACCACGCGAATTATTTTTATTATTCTGAAATAATTTGGGAAGTATATTGTAACGTGGAGCTTATTTATATATATAAATATATGACACGATACATACGTTAAACAAATAACGAAAAATGTACTGTTCGCACAATCACAACTTCTTTTTTTAAAAGAGAATCTTTTTGATTGATAATTGTTTTATTGATAAATAGGTTAAATTTATTTATAAGATGTCTCAAAGGGGAATTCGTGATGTACTACAGCTTTATAGCCTGGCATTTCCATAAGGAAGAGGAGAAAAAGAAAAATTTGAATAGGTACAATGTTGAGACTGCGTAAAAAAAGTTCTTTGGCGTTAATAAAAATGACGATTACAAAGTAATATTTAGTAGGTATCTTAATGAAATAAAATTATTATTAGCAAATCAAATCAATCAAATCAAAATCATTTATTCCAACTAAACCATAAATAGGTAGGTAGGTACTTTTGAAACGTCAAAATATAATATTAGTCTGTCAGTCTGTTCGTCAGTGAAGCCAGGTGCTAGCATTTTTGTTATCACTCGTTTCGTGTTATTTTATAACAAACATTCATTCATCATGTAATACTATCGCGATTTATTATTATCTAACGGTTCGGATTTTTTTCTTACAAAAATCTTTGTCTGGCAGCAGCTGGCAAGATGACATAATAACTTCTGGTTATCGAAAGACTCGAAAAGGCAGCAAACATTTGGGTAAATATATTATATCCCTAAAGCAATTAATTTCAATACTGTTTCACAACGTATTACGTGATTGCTTATCTACCATTACGTCATTAGCCTACTTGTTTGCTGGCAAAATAATGTAGATTTTTTTTTTAATAAAAATAACTTCCCCTTAATTAGAAGAAAACCTAAAAATAAAATTAAAAAAAAAATATTTTTATTTTGGCAACTTTACACTTCTTCTGTCAAATGTCGTTGTCAAGTCAACGTCGAAATGAACGTTTGACTTTGAATTTGAATTGTTGACAACAACACTTCCTAATAACGCTACAAACAAAGCTTTTAAGTTATTATTTCAAGTATAGTTTGTATTCATAAAAATCAAGATGATAAAAACAAAACCGTGGACTGGTGGCACTGACGAAGAATACGAGACACAGCATTTTGGTTTTGGGACTCAACGCCTTAAAATCGCCGTAAGACAGATGGTTGAACAAAAAATTACAAACGGCGTCAAAGATATGGAATCTTATTTGCAGGAATCTTTGGATCTCAACGAGACAGACAAATCTACTCTAACAAGGTCGTGTGATAAGTTGATTCATTTGTATTGTGAGCGTGCTGGACCGTCTTTGGAAATTATTGATGAGGAAATCGAACGTTTGTTGAAAATTCCACATAATGTTTTGTTGCCTGAAGACGAAGTGCAGGTCGAGCAAACATCGGATTCAGAATTCGAAAAGTTGAAAGAAGAGGTAGCATCTTTAAGGAGGAGAGTTGAAAGAGGTGCATTAATGGAAGCTTTATTATCTGCAGAAGAAGAGGAGCTTGCTACATTGGAAAAAGTATGTGAAACTGCTAAGAAAGACATGGAAGCTATAGATCTTCTTTGTAAAAGTGCTGATAACAGTGACAGTTTGAGAGCTGTGCAGAGTGAAACTCAGTTTTTGTGTGCAAGTGCATCATTCTTAAAAAAACAAAATGATTTGTTCGATAAATGATTTCAACTGTGAAGTTTGATACTGGAAACATTCAATTCTATTCAATTATCATATCCGGTGGTATGCTATAACATTATAAACATTAAAGATTCTAAACCTACTTTGTTCTCAAGTTGAGCGCAAATACATGATTACTACTATGAACTATCTTTAATAAAATTATATTTCAGATTATATTAATATTAGTGTATCTACTTATTTCATTAAAGTTTAATACCCACATGTTTACGTTGTAGCTACAAGATTGATAAACTAAAATCAGACTGTATGTTAAGCCTTTTACTGTTGACAGAAAACATTAAAGGCAAATCTTCTACCATAGTTAAGTGGTAAATTAAGCTGATTGTACAATACTGACAATGTATCTTGGCGAATCTGAGGTTAGATGATTTGTGCAGTACACAATTTTGTTCCTAAATGGTCCATTGTGCACACAAACGGCTAACTTCAGACTCGGCAAGATAAGTCGGCTGTACTGTACTGGTCCTAACTAATATTTTAAACTCATTTACATGTCTGTCTATCTTAGAAACCACATTTTGGTTTTCTGTTCAGTTGGTATCTGGATAAATATCTATAATCTATAAGTTCTCTTGTTCAGAGGGATAATGTAATTTTTCTTTCTAAAGTCAGTCTATTCTGATTAAACACCTTGCTCCAGCCAGGCAGCAGAATGTCATTACGCTTGACCTCAATTGCGGCCTGTAGAGAAATAGGGGGTGAAGAATGAACTATTTCTAATTCCATTAAATGTAACAAATATATTATCAACCCATGTGTAAATCTATACTAATATTATAAAGTAAAGTAAGTGGTAAAGTTTATAAGTTTGTATGTAGGGGGTAATCTTTGGAACTGCTAGTTGGATTGCCAAAATTCTTTCACTGATTGATAGCTACAAGGTTCCTGAGTGGTATAGGCTATAAAACACAACACTACGATCTGTAGAAGCCGAGCAGCGGGTGATACCGCGCGAGAGTAGCTAGTATATGATAAAGAATAAGTAGTTGAAATAAAACGTCTTTTCAATGCATGACAGCTCGTAACTACATAAGTAACTACATGACAGCTCGTAACTACATAAGTAGTATAAAGTCGCTTTTTCTGTCACTATATTCCAAGGTTTGCTTAAATCTTTAAACTTCGCAATGGACTTTGATGCTGTTTTTTAATGGACAGTGATAATGTTTCAGTGGAGGAATTTATATGTGAGATGCTGGAGTACACAACCATGCTAGACACAATGTGTTTTCTATTGTTTGTCATGTATGGCAGGCGGTTAATGGAATAAAACAACATAAACAGTCATTTTTATTTTAATGTAAAAACAGAACTTCTTACATAAAATTCGCCTAGAAACGAGTATCATAGATTAACAATACTTATTACACCAATTCTAATATAACACTCAGTTACATTGTGATTACTATGTAATGTATTTTATTATCTAAAAAAAACTATACAAAAATTGATACATTTAAATTTTTATATTCACTTCGAAAATTTATAACTTGGCACATAGAACATGAAATAGTTTAAGTCTAAAGAGATTCAAATAGTAAAATTATATTCAAGAAAATAAAAATTGAATATTATATTGTACTAATTTTTATTTATATCACATTTAAAACTTAAGCTACTGGCACACCTACAAATGATGAGTTTTACTCTTCTGAATAAAGGCTACAATTATTTCTTTCAGAGTCATTAGTGTTATACCACACTCATTTAAGTACTTGATGATTTTACTGGCAGATTGTTCACACCTTAAGTACATAACATTTCTAAATGTTTTTGTAAGCAGATTTTGTTTATTGAGACAGTAAATCTGGTCTTTGAAATAAGTTTTTTTTCTGCTCTGAATTTATTATCTTAGTAATTTTCTCTCAAAGTTGTTGTCTGATTGGAATAAGATTATGTTAAAATATATCCAATTTTATACAGAACATTATCAATATGATTTATTTCTCTCAAGTTTAATTACAGAATATTTTGTGTTCGATTGAAAATCAAACAGTAAATTCAACATTAAAATTTAAATATATATCAAAATAAACAAGTGTAAAGTTTACACATAATAAACACCTAATTATAATTTACAAAATTCTTTCCAAACACTTAAAAAGTGAACATCAAACTTAATGGTTACTTGACAGAGGCGGAAACATGCTATCGTATCGTGGCGTTCAGGAGCATATCAGTTTCATACATTTACAATACCGCCGACGTATCTTGGCGAGTCTGAAGTTAGCCGATTAGCTGCGCAGTACACAATTTTGTTCCTTAAAGATCTATTGCGCAGACAAACGGCTAACTTCAGAGTCATCAAGATACGGCGGCCGTACTGTATTAAGGTAAAAGACATACTTACATGTAGTTTATCACGACACAATACTTTGCCTCTAAACCACCTTAACCCATTCTAATATTACTATTAATTTGTGTAAATTGCACTTAAACTTTGAAGCCATAAAATATAATGATTACTTCAAAATACATGCACAGATTAACTTCTTCGTTTCACATTTTATTTGCATGAATTATTTAAAAACCAGCATATAAACTTCCATTTTGAATTATATTCTAATGACACACTTAGTAGCACAGTATTGTTTAACACCTACATTAAGTAAATGATAGGATAACCAACCCAACTAGCGTCAAAAAAAACATTCATTATACTCTAAGTTAGAATAGAAAGTGAAGATTGAAATCTTAGGGTTAGAAAAAGATGGGCAAAGAAACGGGCCCGGTCCTTTGCTCGCCTTTTATATTTGAGCTAAAGCCTAATGGTGTATCTACATCTTACAAATATCTCACTCCTGAGCAACCCTGGACTACATAATTTTAAGTTTACACGTATCTTGCGCCATTCTTCAGTTGTTCGTAATAAGACCTTTGCTAGATGTGGACACACCATAAAAGTGAAATGGATAGATTTTTTCTATTAAAATACTATATCTCAAACCATATAATAGCAGCTTGCTGTTTGAATCTTTAAAGATTTTGAATTGCTTTACTGTAGTTGGTTATATTCATTGATGCTGTATTTGTTGGAATTCTATGAAGTATATAATTATAATGTTATAAAGTCAACCAGTACAATTTTTGATAGGTAAAGTCTTCTTTCTGTCTGTGTAAAGTATGTTAGATGGCTACTCTTTAAAGATTCATACAACTACATCATTATAATTGATAATACTGCTTATCACAGATGGTAAATGAAACAAAATAATAATTAAACATCTCTAATGAGTTTATGTACAACACTTTAGAATTTATGCTTTATTTTGATTCATATGTACAATTTTTTACGCCTAAATCTATACAAATGGTTTATGATGCATGTACTAGTTTACAACACATAATACATAGTTCATCGAGTAGTTATGTTTTAAAATGCTCAAACTTAATAATTAAATTTAAATCTAAATTAAATATGATTTTGTTTAGTTGTTAAATTCCATAACGACTTATGAAGTTATGTTTTTTCGAAAATTTTACTTGTTATTGTCTGTCCTAACGATGAACACTCAGTGCCCGACATTTTAATGTACCTATAGCTACACATAATTATATTACACAAATTATAAATAATTTTATTCCCGCCAATTTCTCAATTTGAAATTCGAATGACTGATGTTTCGTGATATCTATTTTTTTTTGCAATGACATCGAGCAGGCGGCTGTCTATTGTTAACCAAACTTCTTGTCTCTCCTATTGGGCTCTTTGAGAAGGAACATGTTTGGTTAACCAGACCATAGTGAATTATAATGACTTTTTATATTTAAAATAAAATAAAATATTGAGGATACAATGCAAACATGGAATGTTTACAATACAATGCTTGGAAGATTAAACTAGAATAAGCATAATAATAATATACTTAAAACAACACAGTTTATGGCTATCTATGCTATTATTTGGTAGCACACTTTGTACTAAACAGTAAAATTAATACAATTCTTTGGTAAATGTTACAAATTGGTTATCTGTAATGAGTATTTAACAGTAATCAATATTGACTACTAACTTTTTTATACCAATATATGAATGTTATTATAATTGAACATAAAAATTGCTAATTTAATATTATTACTTAATGACATTATCCTATCTAATAAACAACAGTTACGATTTATCGTCATTCCAAAATATAAATACATTTACACACTATCAACAGACTTGATTTGATGATGCAATAATTTTTTGGAATAAATGGCACAGCTGTACTCACTACCGAATAGCTTGTTGAGGTCACTATGAATAAGTTCAAACAACAATATAAATCACTTGTCTTGTTGAAGTAAAAGTTTTGGATTGTCCGAAGTAAGATAAACTTGTAAGAAATAAAGTTACTTAGCCACTTAAAGAGCAAATAAAAGTCTGATCACTGAACTGAGCGAAACAAAGCAATGGATGCGTGATGTGGTGAGTTGTGACGTCACACGTATGCCGGGGGGCGCACGTCCACGGTGGTGGTGACGTGCTTGCCCGCCGGGCCCGGCCACGACCACCCACTATCGCTCAGCGCTACCAGTCACACTGGTCCGCTCCACTCTGTACTGTCCTGGAACATAATAGATTTTATTTTATAATATGGTTCCACACCAGGGTTTTTCCCGATGACATGGGTTTGTTTACAAATATAGTTTCACACAGCCAGACTCCAACATCACATCATCTCCTTGTAATGATACCTCATTTAATAGTTGTATCAATAGAAGTAACTGATCATGAAACATAATCCTGATACGGATGAATCTAACGATGATAGTTAGGATGATAACTATCATCTAAAGATGATAATAAAGTGTGGTGCATATAAAAAAAAATACAAAAATTTAACAGCACAGCTTTCGTTAAGGTTTTGTTTTGCAATGTCTTATCGTTAAGGGCTTGTGTAGTTATGGGATGAGTCATTTAGCTACATAGTTTAGACGTCGTAGGGTGGCCGACCTGCGGCCACCGTAGGGCGCGGCCTGTGGACGACAGACTCGGGGCGTCTTGTCGTCTGACCAGCAGCAGGCCTCGAGGCGGCGGCGCCGTGTTCCGCGCGCGCCTCATAGTGGAGTCCTGCGGTCGGGGTGACGGCCGCAGTGGGTGACGGGGCCCGCCTTACCATCTGGCGGGCCAACACCCGTCGGGGGGTTGCGACGAATGCTTCGGCGATACCCGAATACTCCGACACATGGGTTATTGGAGGAACACCGGGTTGGTTTTTAGTCAGTAAGAGTCTGACAGTACCCTTCGCCCTTCCCCGAGGGCGATGGGTCTCCATGAGAATGTTCCAACCCGACACAAAAAAAAAAAAAAATTTAGCTACATAGTTGTCTTTAGATAGATTTTCTACATTAGCTTCTGTCAGCTGTATCACTCGCGTTTTAGTTGGAAATCAGATTTATGATAACGTAGTATCAGGAAAATCAGCAGCTTTTAATCTATGGTCTCATGAATGTTGTCCAGACCAATAAAATTGTTTTATTTTTATTTTATTTAAACAAAACTTTGCCCCACTCTAGAATTTTCTCCTGTAACGTGAGTGCGTATGCGTATGCGTTTACAAACATACAAATTCACCTACACAAACCAACCAGACCCGAAACAACAATTTGTGGATCACACAGTGTGTCATCAGCACTCATCTATCTATTGTGTTCATAATATTTATAACTGTAAATTATCTAAAATTGGATCGGATGATAAGGTATTTAGGTTCTGTTCTGTATGAGGCTGTTCAAATGTAAAAGAGATAGAGCAGAGAGAGAAAGAATGAGGGAGAGAGAGAAGGGGGGGGAGAGGGATAGAGAGAGAGAGAGAGAGAGAGAGAGAGAGAGAGAGAGAGAGAGAGAGAGAGAGAGAGAGATTGAGAGAGATAGAAATATGTTTTGTTAATCAATAATTGGTGTTACCTGTGAAATGTTAACAGTCTTTGGATGTATAGGGCTCTGCGGCGCGGCAGAGTTAGCGTTGGTAGTGAAGTACCCGCCGGGCCGCGGCCGCAGGTGACGGTTGTGCATCTCCATCTGCACTATCTTCATGAACTCTATCTGAGCTGCTAGCTTTTGAACTTCTTCCTGTAATGCAATCAAATAAATATTTATATTTTTTATATAGTAGTTTTTATCTCCAAATTTCCTAATCCCCAAAAGGTTAGCTACGCACTCGCAACTCCTCTGTTACGGGTGCCCATGGGCGGCCCTGATTGCTTACCATCAGGTAGGTAACCCGTAAGCTCGTTTGCCGGTCTATCACATAAAAAAAAACAATGAAGGCAGTGAAATAAATGCAGTTTACCTTCTCATTATATACATAGAGATCCCAGATAGCTACGATTTAAGCAAGCAACAAATAAACGAAATCATTTGACCAAATAATACCTTAAGTTCCTCATTTTCTTGATAGAGGTCAGGTGGTTCATCAGGCACAAGGCCGATGCCATTGAGTGAGGACGAAGCTGGTACTCCACGGGCACGGGCTCGACTGTCCCACGTGTCGCCTGTACCTCGTACCACACGTAAAACCTGTTAAATGGATAGAGAAATAGATAAATATTAAAGGAATTTCTGCTTTGTTTATTTGTAGTTGAGGTACATTTTTGAGTGTTGTTATTCGATCTATACTTACAACTATAATAAAGATGAAAGATTTGATTGTTTATTTGAATTGAGTAGGATCTCAAAGTATTTGACTCATTTGAAAAATTCTTTCACTGCTTGAAAGCCACATTATCTCCGGGAAATAGGACATAGGTTATAAATTGCCGCGGGGCACAATTTATTTTTTAAATAATTTGAAAATCCAGATGTACAAGTCGTGGAACTGAATAAATTAAAAAATAAAAAGCCGGTTATTTATGATGTTGCTGAATTCAACCTATTCTCTGGAAGGTTTTAGGACTTTTTCATAGAAGGTCATTTTAATTATGTTCAAAAGACATGAAAATGGACCTTATCTCATGAACTTAAGTGTCCAATTGTAATAAACCTGAAAGAAGGAGAGTTTTACCTTAGGTAAAAACACCAACAGCACTGTTGTTGATGTAGACAGCTGAGTTCTTATGAACCCAAGAAGATACTTAATGTCAGGTCCAGCCCGAGGCAATATTAGTAAACTGAAAACAAAGAAATTGTGACATTACAGTATTATATTATTTATTTATTTATTAAAATATTTTATTGTTTGGTCTACCGGTTTATGTGAACAATCTTGGCATGTCTTTTTACCTAAAATCCTTCAAAAGATTTTATGTAAAAAATAAAAAAAATTTACATTTACACAACTAGGTAAGTATTTAATTCAAATAATCTTTGTATGTATTTTATACGACCTCTTTAATATAAAAAGATATATCAAAATTGTTTACTATTTGTTAACCACAAAATCATAGTAAACTTAATACGATTGAAGACATTTACAAATACTTTCCATGCCAGTAGCAAATTTATTTATTTTCAACCTTATAAATTTGCAATAAAGTTTAAAATTTATTATGTACAGAAAGCAACTTCTTTAACTTCTATAATATATTTATGTACTTACTGGAAAGCTATCATGAGAGAGTTGACAGTAAATATGTTGTATATGGCTATAGAGATGAGTCGCGCCTCGTTGTACAAGCTCTCGGCGTGCCGGACGCGGTAACATACCCGTACGCCCCATAGTAGGAACAGGATTTCACCTGGAACATATCAATTAGTGTTTAAGATACTCCATACAATAAAGATAAAATGTATATCATGGTAGGGGGTTTAGTATATAGTTTATACAATTATTCCGTATCCGTTATATAACATACTTTAAAATATCTAACAATGTTTTTTAGGGGGCGTCATGAAAATGCTTCTTCCGCTCTGGTTAGGGCAGGACATAGTGTTAGATTCTTCCTTTGACTTTAAAACAGGCCGTTCCTTCTCTTGTTACAAGTTGGGGACTCCGAACTCCTCACAATAAATGGGCTTAAAACAACCACAGATTACTGGAGGTCCGATTCTTTTTCCCCTCTGCCAATCCCTAAATCTCAGAAACCCTAATCCCCAAAATGTCGGTAACGTATTCGTAACTTCTCTAGTGTTCTAGGTGTGCATGTGCGTCGCCGATTTCTTACTATCAAGTAACCCGTCTGCCTGTCTCCCATCCTATTACGTAAATAACAGATGGTTTTTTTTGTGAGAGGTAAATCATCAAATGACTTCTCCCGCCCATGGTCGGGCGAGAGGGGAGTGTCAGACTATTACTGATTAAAAACTCCCCGGTGTCTTCTCCTGCTGTGGACCGAGGCCGCGGTTCCACATTAGGTACTTACCTCGCAACCCTTAACATCAGCTTAACATCAGCCCTATAGGGCCCTATCTGTGGTGCTCTATTGGCTCTTTGAGGCGCGTGCGGAACGCTACGCGCCGTACGCTCGGGTCTGCTTCTGGTCGGGCGGCTAGTACCCTTACTCACCGTCCGCAGACCCACGCTTACGGTGGCCGGAGATCGTCTCTCGAAATAACACATGGTAGGCTTACAAAGTTCAAACTGATAATAATGGCATTACTTACCTATAGCTAAACTGTGATCCCACCAATTGTAAGTACATTGCTTGAATTTCAGGCCCCTGTTGTCTGTTATCTGAAAAAAACAACAACAATTAAACTGCTTACATCTTGCAAAACAAATACAAGAACAAAAATAGATAGTCTATTACTTAACACTATTTAAATACATTTACTTGTACAATTTATCCTATGTCTAACTATTTTAGTGTTAAATATTGACAGAAATTAGAGGAGAATTTCCTTTTAACATTTTTCTGTCATCAGTTTGTCTTTAAATTACCCTATTATGACTTATCTTGCTATGGTGGCTCGGAAGTTAAGACGCGAAGTTTTTATGCATGGGGTTTGCATTTTCAATCTGCTTCGAGCAACCATATTATAGTTAATGCGCCAACCTCCACTGAGAAAGAAGAGACCTTTGTTCATCAGTAGACTGCTGGTAATGATGATGTTGAATTAAGAACTTACAACTTCAGCATCAGGCGGGGCGGACAGTGTCCAGGTGCCGAGGTAGACCAGCATGATGAGGAGTATCGGCGCCATCCACTGCAGCAACTGCTTGTCTGTCAACTTCAGTTTGTGCGCTGACTTCACTCGGTATGTTAATGATACCCTAAAATTATTAAGAAAATAATGTTTTAAATAAATAAGACATTCCTTTTTTGGAGTCAGTTAATGATTATACATTGAAGTTTTTATATTTTGAAGTTGGCAACACTGTGATCCTCTGACTAATCCCTAATTTTCCTTAGGAAATAAAATAAATAATATTATGCTATTTCATAATGCATCCAGATCTGGAGAAGGCACTGTGTGAATACACCACAATCATGTAGTATAATAATAATAAAATTCTGTTGTTTGGTATTTTAGATAATCTGTGAGCAGCACTGTGGGCTACAATATTGTTAAGTATGTTTTGTATATCCATAGTACCTAAGCTTTATATTGTAGCTGTATGCTGTTTCTTCATGTTAATAAAAAATATAAAAATTGGAGAAATATTAATGAAGTCTTATCAGTTGAGTTAATAAGTAATAATTGTAATTCTTAATTACTCTTGATTTAACTTCAGCAGACTGCTACTGAATTTAGCAAACTCTAGATTAGACAAAAAATATTTTGCGAAAGTTTAAATAGGAAACCAAAATATTACCTCCATGTTTTCATCAGAAGTGCTGTGTATGTAATACAGAATCCCATATGTCTGGTCCATTTTGTTGCAATACAGGAGTATCTATCCAACACCGGGAATATAGCTGCCATCTAAAATGTATAAAGTAATTGCATAGTTAAACCTGGGTTTATTGTTCTCTGTAAGTTTATAAAAATCCAATTTGTCATTAGTTCTGTTCATATATTACTGGATGCTATAGATTTTCTTTTTATAAGGGTTAAATCATGTCTGAGATCAAGTTTCACTCATACTGAATGAAAAGCAAGCCTGCTCTGAGCATGGGCCAAGTAAAGTACGGCCGACATATCATGGCGAGTCTGAAGTTAGCCGTTTTTCTGCACAATGGATCTTCTAGGAACAAAATTGTGTACTGCGCAGCTAATTGGCTAACTTCAGACTCGCCAAGATACGTTGGTGGTACTGTAGATCAGTGCACTTGCAAACACAACCCGTGCTGAACATAGGGTTAGGTTAGGAACTATTTGGTCCCATCAGTGGAGATCTGATGGCTCTTCAAGCAGACTGCATTACACTGTCAGGTTAGTTTTGTTCCAGTCTATAGTTGGTTAGTGTAGACATAAGTTATTTTATATTAAGATGCTGTTTTTACAAATTTCCATAAATCATAATATAATTCTTCTTGAGTCTTTGGCCTACGTTCGAAGACTGGGACCAAGCTAGTTATAAAATAGAGAACTCACCTCCATATACATGATAGCGCATCCAAGAAGTGTTATAGACAGAAAGACAGGACTGGCTACTCGAAACACTTTCACCCTGCGATGGTGACGAGTATAGATGGTCAGACATACTGTCATGACAGCGCAGCTCACTGATATTACCAGTAAAGATATCCTGTAAATAATGAATTAATTAAAGTTTATTTAAATCATCCAAAAAGAACAGTTAATATTATGTATAGGTAAGATGTAAAATTTATCTGATTAATAATTTAAAATTCTTAATTTATAGAATTAGTGCTAGCAACAAAATATAATTTATTTTATAAGTGGGATATACCTCCTGGGATATATTCTATAAACACATACTGCTGTTTTATTGAAATGAAAATTGGGACCAAGATTCAGCCTTTTGTAAAGAGGTTTGTAGTTAGTAGTAAGTTTTTAGTTTTCTTACCGGAATGGCCAGTTGTAGGTGGCGAGGCAGGGTTCCGGTCCCCGGCATGTTTCGCAGCCCGGCTGACATTTCAGACACTCGTAAGGCTCACTCCAGTTTTCAAGATCGTTTTCTTCGTATTCTTGGTAAGCCACTAGAACAAAATTATGTATTGTTAACCTATCTTCTGCTTTTGCTTCGCAAGAAAGGCGAAATGCGTATGAAAACATATTAATTAAAAAAGCTTTACACCTTGATACAATTTTAATGCAACACATCACAGTTCACAGATTACTGTAACTAGTCGGAGACATTTTTGTTTGAGTTAATAACTAACGAAAACAATACTCGGTTAAAATTGAAAACAAAACAATGTATTTGATATCAATGTCACTGTCAACTTCAAAGTGCCAGAGACAGTAAACAATGTGCAGTATTAAGTGTGTCAAAAAAATGAAGATCAACCATTTATAAATATTAACCATTTATAAATATAAGATCAACCATTTAAAAATTTATAAGAGTATAAATGGTAAAGATTGTTTTATGGTAATTTTGTATGAATAATACTAGAAAAACGATTACAGATTATTCATACAAAAATCAACGCTATTTTGTAATAGGTACCTTCGACAAGGGATCCATTATATCCTTCTCGGTGATGTGTCGAATAGTATCCGGGACGACATCGGCAAATATATGACCCTCGTGCCCAACCAGCATGTCGCACATTCATTTCTCTGTTTGGTTTGTATTCACACTAGACAAATAGAAAAATTGGATTTATACACATAGCAATTATTATAAAGGAAACATTTAAATTCCAAGGCCTATGTATACTTACGTAAGTAGTGTCGTTAGGGCATTTGTGTGTCCCGTGAAAAGAATATATTTGGTTATCATTATCGTCTTCAGTATCTGCCTCGCACTGGTTTATTTCCAAGCTCGATATGTCTATGTCTAGCGAGACAATACCTTTCAATCTGTAAGAGAGAATTGCATTACTGCACAATATACTCAGGTGGTTAGGTCCTATCAGGGGTGTAGCTATCAAAGTATCTGCTGTGTAAATTATTCGGGATACTAGCTATCCAAGAATGATAACAGCTTGTGGAATGGTGAAATTGCATTGACTGCAATTATTTCTGATTTAGTGTGTCTTATGCAATTATTATTAAGGTATGATAGTTTCCTGAATGCCCGTGTGGTAGATTAGTGTTGAAGATATTTTACACTGCTTAATTCCGGTATGCACCTATTTGGATAAGACAAAGTAAAAAAATATTCGTGTTGTGTACCTAACATTGTTTTGGATTTGATGAAGAGAGTAACGTGTTTCGCATAAAATAATGTCATGGGTAGTTTGATTTTATGAAACTGTACATTCATGTAACTTGAATGCAAAATAGTCAAGCACGTTAGGACGTCTACATTTCTCTTTTCTATAAAAAACAAAAATCTCTTATCAACCTCTACTCTACTCACCCTCGTACTGTAGCAACAGGCACGGTATAGGACAATAACCAACGCTTTGCTTCGCAGCTGTAATATGGATACGTCCACCATCCCTCCATTGTGGCACCAGGTGGAGAGGGCATGAACTTCGGAGACCGAAGTGTTTCTATCTCATGTGCTGATACATACCTGGAATTGTAAAGGCAGAAAATGATTTTAGAGTTGATTTGACAATCTAATAGAGTAGGTACGACTTGTGTATCTCATTCGGGCTGACCAATAAAAGCTTTTGCAATTTTAATAATTTCGGGAGTTATACAAGCTATTAATCGGAATACATGTGTTTAATCGATCTGGTATTACGACAAATACATTCGTAGATCACTACACTAAGTCTCTCCTAAAGTTTTAGTTTACCCACCACGGATATTCAGGGTCTGGTGGCTTTTCCAACTGTGGAGACACAACAGCAATAGGATCAGCAGTGCCGTATCTTTCCCATGCTACTGCACTGTTCACCACTCCATCAGATCTTAAAGCCAGTGCTCTTGCCCCCACAGCGCGCTCCGAAGGACTTGATCCAAGCACTAAGCCTTGTGATACTGCCATTAGGACTTCTGTAAAGGAATAAAACGTGTTTCGCAATGTAAAAAAAGACTGGCACAGTATGACAGGTTTTCTAAGCTATGTTATAATGTTTTTGTATCCTGTTCTATGGAAGTCATTGTGTCATTGTGTAATTGTGTTTTATTCAAGCGTTTTTTCTATCAGAAAGGGAATAAAAATTCACCAAAAATATATTAACAGTTAAAGTAAAAGTTGGAGCGTGTCGCGATTTTCCTTAAAACCTTTTGTTAAATTCGGTTCCATTTGTTTGATTTCTAGGGTCGTGAATTAATTTAACAGCGGGCGCAGAATCAAATCAAACGAAATTGTTTACGAGTTGACGGTCGCTTTTACCCTTTGTTGAACGATTGTTTATAGAGACTTCTTTGTAGGTATCGAAAATTCCGATGTTCGTACGTTACTTATTAGATTTTCAACAATTAAAATTTACCATATAAAAATAGGCGTATTAACCAAAAGCGCGAAACTTTAAATCCGCCTTTACTCTTTCCAGTTATTGGTATTCTGGTGTCTTTAGCACCTTGCAGTGTCAATATGGCCCTACGTGCTTACTTTGGCATCTTACTTCCACAATATTTCGTTCCATTATTGTCATCATCAAGCCCATATCATAGCTGAAAATAAATACACCATTGAGGTGTTTCTCTCTTTGATGCCTTTCATAATTAATTACCTGCTGATTCCAAGCCCAGTTGATGAAGTAAATTAGCAGCTAGATCAGCCCTGGCTCTTGCAGTGTCCCAGCGTGCAGCGTGCAGTGGTGCCCGCAGCCGCCCATACCGATGTGTGACACACAGCGCGCCCGTTGCACCAGTAGCTACTGCATGCACCAGACGGAGTGACGATTCTACTTCTTCCTGTGAATCAAAATGATAATTAGTTAAAAAGTTCCGTGGTCCTTACTTATCCACTTATGAGATTATAATCTTATTTTTAAACGGCTGTTAACATGTTGTATGACCCCCTTATGGCAGGCAATCTGCTTCACTAATAGACACCCCTAACAGCGGAGGCGTTGCAGGCTTTTCAGGGGTAGTCAGGCATATGAGATTTGGGGATTTTGGACGGGAAGAATGGGAAAGGATTGGGCCCTCTTTAACCACACTTACGACTACACAAGTACGTAGCGTAAAACAACTCAACCTTTTTTTTACCTTGATTTTTTTGTAAGCCGTGCTTTATATTTATATTCTGTTCGAAGACACATCATTCGTGGCAAAGCCATGGTGTCCCACACTTAATTTAATGGAAAGGTGATTATAAGATATATTATACCCCTCTATTATTAACATTTTTGTTACGCCTAAACTTTGTATCGACTTTTATATGTCAATTCATTTTTGTTCTGAGAACTAAGTATCTAGAGAAGTGACGATCGAGTTAAGTGAGCACAATGATATTATGAGTAAAAAGGTAAAGTAAATTACTAATAATATCATTGAGTGAGTACCCGGTAGGTAAGCCTAAACAAATGAATGTTGATATTCGGATATTCGTTTTACAGTAAATAGATGAATTTTGCTAATCAGATTGGTTCTAACAGTACATAACTAGGAATTCTCATAATCTTACCGCTTTCTTAAAGCTCATAAAATAAACAGTTTATTTTCCGAAGAAATTAACGGATAGGTACTTACTTATTGATTTATAGCGAAATTTTCCTTCGAAAATTTTGGGGCCGAAAAATAACACGAACTTTCTCTGTTGCTACCGTGAACAAATAACTCATGCCTGGAGTTTGTTTACTTTAGAAGTAAATTGTTCAAGAACCAAGGGTAGGTTCCGTCCGTCCAAGGCGACGCGACGGGTCGTTGACTAATTTACTTACATTACTTTTTCAAACCTTAACTTTTTAAAGTGTAACACAGGAATGCAATTTGGAAAGGTTCTTAATAGTCATTTCGCTGTAGAAGATATTATGTGGTCTGCTTTCCTTGTCTGTTATTCTTCGATTAGGAGGGTATCGAGGAATATTTCACCCGATTTGGAAATGTATTTTTGGTTGATGATAATATTTGAGATAGAACAGACTGTCATGCTTTAGTTTTAGAGGGACGGCATTTTATTTGGTCACTTCAATTTAGCACTAGAATACGGTTAGGACGACTTATCTCTGATATAAATAGGAAATCAATTTTATGTGCTTTGTCAAACCGTATTACAAAGGCATCGAATCCTAAAAGCACACACAGGAATAATCCCCATCCAACTTTCATCCAAATTACATTTTTCCATTTGAAACATGTTTAACATATCCAGTGAGAAGTCCAACGAAAACTCGTTTACGAATTCAAATTCAACTTGTTGAATATTTTTGTAAAAAGCTCTTTTAATAACACACAGCGGTATTCATTTCGTCGCGTACCCGTCAGCAAAAAGGTTACATTTGCAAGTTTTGCAACAGCGAGATTCCTCATTACAGAACAGAGATAGCACGATTCATCTCTGTTGGTATTTCAACAATAATATACGAGACAAACATATTTTCCGGCGTTCCGTAACGAAAGATATGGTCGACATGACGTTAATCCCATTAAGGGTTCACCTGATTGGATGTACGGAGCAAAAAGATAATGTAATTATTTTTCTAATACTGAGGTCTTTGTGCTGTCGTATAGAATAAAGCTTCAGTACGTACAATTATGGTTTTTCCCACTTCAAGCTTCAGAAAAACAAATCAACTTTCAATAAGATTGAATGAAATGAGGTCAATTATATTTTCCAATTGTATTTCTATCAACAAATGCTTTGTTGAATCTGGATATCGAATTAAAGATACACAGTAGTTGCAGTTTCGAACGCTGTTCTAGTAGCCAGTATATTTATGTTTTTTTTTTATGGGATAAGTCGGCAAACGAGCGTTCGGATCACCTGATGGTAAGCAATCGGCGCCGCCCTTAGACAACCGCAACACCAAAGGAGTCACGAGTGCGTTGCCGGCCTTTTACAGATAAGGGTTGCGGATATTTAAGGATTGGGAAAAGATAGGGGAGGGTTACGGATTGGTTTGTAACCTCACTCACACGGCAAAACATAACGCTTTTTTTGTTACACGCCGGTTTTCTGTGAGGCCGTGGTATCACTCTGGTCGAGCCGACCCTTTCGTGTTGAAGCTTGGCTCTCCCACGCTTATGTGTTAATACATATGTTGGGATATATGTTTATGCCTTAATTATTCTTACACGAGTATTTGGCTTGTAACGCCGATTAATTCAGTGTGGAACTTTAAAATAAAACTAGCGCGTAGAGACGTTATTCTTAATCCTTGTTACGATTAGCGGCCAAAAGTGTTTTGTCAAAACAATGAGAAGAAAAACCATAAGCCTAATTTCTATTACAAGTTTTATACTACAGATTAAATATATCTGTAGTTGCTAAGTGGGACACCACAAGCAAATCGGCACGAGTGGGCCGGCTCGACCGTAGTGATACCACGGCTACACAAAATACCAGCGTGAAGCAAAATTAAAACGATATGTTTCATCGTCTGAGTGAGGTTACGGGATACCCAATACTTTGCCTCACCTGAATCCTCAAATCCCCTATCCGTAAATCCCTAATAAATAACCCACAAGAGGCCGGCAACTCCTTTGGTATTGCAGAATACCACGGGGGACTCCGATTACTTACCATCAAATAATCTGTCACCTTGTTTGCCGATATTGCCCAGCCCATGAAAAAAAAGGATTTGTAACAAAGTTATTACCTTAATTGATATTCTTTAATCAAGGGATAAAAAACACTAAATATATTCCCAGAACTAGAGAAGTTGAGACACTCAACAAACGAGTCAGGTCATCCTAACAAATACCTTTATAATCCTGATACACAATAAGTTATAGATAAAATAAAAGTAGGTACGTGTTCATAGACGCACGCAATTTATATAGATTGAAAATGATATCGATGCGGAAGACAAACAAATCAACCGCTTCTCTTCCAATCAATTTAATGGAGTGCTGTTAATCGTTATTAATAGTTTGTTAGAATTGTTAGTGGTGTATCGTATAGTGGCATATCCACTATTACAAAGGGGATTTAGGTAATACATTTCACTTCGTTGACCAGCCTGTGCCTATGCATACCCCAGCCCAAGGATATGGATATCAGCAACACCGCATACCGATACGCAGTTACATAGAAGTGCGTTTCCCAGCTTTTTGGGGTTCAGGGTTTCGGAGGTTCAAGGATTTGGGGGGGACGAGGGCGAGGGTAATGATTGGGCCTCCGGTAACATCATTCACGCAGCGAAAAACAACGCTGTGCTTGTATCATGCCGGTTGTTTGTGAGGCCGTTGTATCACTCATGTCGGGTATCGAGTTGGCCTATTTGTGCCGAAACATGGCTCTCCTACACTTTATTCTGTGCCACTTGCCCTCCGTGTAGGAGAAGACATAGGGTTACTTTTCGCCCTTCAAGGATTATATTAAGAAAATAACAAACGCCGGTTGCCAGCCAGCGTGGGTCAGGTTATAATGCCAATGTGCCATTTCAATACCATCTAATTGTTACTTTAAACCTTGGTATAAGAGTTCTTTAAGCTTTTGCCACATAAAAATATAGTACGAGCATCGCCATATGATTTTAATTGTTTTACTTTATAACTTACTATGCTATACCTACTAACGTTTTGCTGAATGCGCTATATGGCGCTTTCATGACGCAACCTACTAACAAATTATGCAATTTATAGCCGCACTTATTAATTAATGTAGTACAATAAATACTCTCTTCGAGAACGGATACAAAATATTACACACAACAACAAACAATCGTTGACAACATATTACACACAACAAACACATCTCAGTGTACGGGCAAACAGTCTGTACAAATATACATATCATTACCTCTAGTTAATGATTTATCATAATAATATCAATATTATCGAATACTAGCTATTCCCAGGTAGTTTCACTATTTGTCCGGCTCCTAATGGCCAAATCACAATGATTTTCAACTATGGACAACGCATAAGTAATATTAAATTTTAAGCAGTAGTTCAGGAGTTAAGCGCGTTCAGGCTAACAAACATATTCTTCAGTTTTATAATACTAAATCACGTTAATAAATATGTATATTTTTTATAGTTCTTAGTTGGTTCTTTTATTTTCAAAGGTGCTTACTTACATAGGAGTAATTTAAAACTTACTACGAAAATGTTTGAAATATCAGAACTCTCCCCTGAGACCTCATTAAAAACGATATTACACTTTTCGTGTTTAATAATTAGAGAATTCTCATATTTCAAGAGTTTGTTAACGTTGTGTAGTAGGTAGGTACCCAGCCCATGTTATTGATAGGGTCGATGTTTAATATTAATTTTTGCTCAAGGTTTTTCCCTCGGTTTTCGTCGCTGTTCAGCGGGCAATGATGGCTGGCGGCATAGAGAACCAAGGCATCCTCTCGTGGCCTTTGAGATATCCTGGATGAGTCCACCAGACACAGTGAGTTTCGAAGCAAGAAATAATACGAAGTAAATAGTGTTGTTTAAAAAATATATATTATGAAGTAAGTTAGAGTTATTCCGTGCGGGAATCGAACCTGCGACACGTTGTACGGCAGCCAGTTGCCCAGCCACCGCACCAACCTTGCAGTCGAGAGTTAATGTTCTTTCGGTTTATTTTTATTTTTTTATGATTATGTTTTTGGTTTAATATTATTTTGTTTATACTTCTATTACTTACTATAGGTATAAGACTACTTTGTCGAGACCTATTAAAACATTTTTTTTTCTTTTAACTTTTTGATTAGCCCTAGTCGCCATTATTCAACGAACGACACTTTAAATATTATGTGTAGAAATTGTAAAAAGAAAATATAATCAAAAGTAAAAAATCATTCAAGGATTGCATT